GGATTTTTACTTTTATTTTCATTTGGTAAAATTCAAAAACCCGCCCCCATGGGGGTTTTTGTTGCAAAGTTTTTTTTTTTTTTTTTTTTTTTTTTTTTTTTTTCTAAAATCCAGGCAGTCAGATATATCTGAGATGCTTTGGTCCAATGGTGTAAACACATCTGAAAAAGGAATTTAAATAAGAACACGCAAATGAGGAAAATCAAGATAAACAGAATTAGACGTTGCCATAGTAAGTTTGTCTTTGTGAGAGTATCTTGTTAAAAATAATGTTTTACAGCTACCAAAAATAATTAGAAAAACTAACAGTGGCAGGTTGCAATATAAGTGACAAACTACATCTGGAGTGAGTTCCATCTATTTTACTGAAAATCCTGGGACGCGACTATGTCAGTGCCCATGTTGTTTTAGCGGGACACACACTCAGAATAAAGACATGCAGGCATGTTTGTGTTCGTATGTCTTCATATGTGTTCAGGAAGTCTGCGCCGGGCGCTGTTATCATCAGCAGGAGAGCAAGCAGATGGCCGTTCCTATCAACCTAAACACAAAGAGATGAGGCGCTGCTGTCCCACCCCCACATGGGGCAGATGTTAACTCCTCCCCGGAGATGCAAGGGTGAAGAATTGAGACATTAAACATCTTCCTTACTCACATACATTACTTGCTTCTAAAAAAAAAAAAAAAAGGTAAAATTATATTAAACTTGTTTAAAGACAAATACTAAACTATGGCTAACAAAGTCTTATGGAAAACTAGACTTTATGGCGCATATGTTAAGCTGTTTTAAGTGAAACAGTATGGGGCCTCATTGACCTCCACCCTGGTCACAGTGTCATCAGGGGGTCTCATTAGCTTCACAACAGTTTGTTGGTTTGCGTTCTTGGGGCATTCGGGGTCAGTTTTGTGTCTCGGTGATTAAAGCACAGGCGGAAGGGTTCACACCGTTTGACATCAGGACACCTATAATTTTCTCCTTATGCAGTCTTCAGCAGAATCTCTAGACCACGAGCTTACACTGCACCACTAAGTGTCGCTCCGTTCTGGAGTCAGACCTCCTCATTTCTCAGGTTTTTGTCAGCTTCTTTTCCCGTGTGCCTCCAGAAATTGGCCCGTTTGAACACACATTCACTCCCTGAGGGCTCGGAGCGAGAATTGTGTATTTGTGGCTTGTTTTCAGTTTGAACCAAGACTATGGCTCTATGCTGAGGAAACTTAACAGAACTTGAACTCTCTCAGT